AGCAAGAAAAAAAACCATCTCTTAAAGTTGTCAAAGCACCTTTAAAAACTCTTAGCATTCCTTTCCAACTACATACACCAACATTGCTCATGGGCCCCAAGAGAAGGAAATAAAGTTGTGATAAAAGAAATCCACTTGATTTACTTATTGCCATGGCAGTGAAGTATGATCAATTTCTGGTGCTGTAGGCATTTTTTGGTGTCTTGAGGGTTCAGTTTATTTCAAGTAATGTACCCCTTTCTATTTTGGGTAGCCCCACAATTAATATCTCCTTTCAAATAAAGTGAGCATTTCTTAGAACCTGATGAGTCTACAAATGTCTTCAGTTCATTTGCAACTTACTTTGATTTGTTTCTTCTATTGCCTAAGCTCCCCCCTCCTATGCATCCAAATCTAAGGAGTTGTATAGTTTGTCTTTCAGCTGTCACTGAAAGTTGTCTGAAACTGTCTTTTTCTTCTTCCTTGCATCATAATCAGCCATCTTCAACTTCCTTAATTTGAAATTGTTCTTAAAAATATTTCTCAAAATGTATTAGGTTGGAAGAGAAAATATCCAATTCAGAGTCAGAAAACCAAGTTCTTCGCCAGCAAGCATTGGCTGTATCCCCAACCGGAAAAGCTCTATCTGCAAGACCAAGAACTGTGATTATACAGGTAAAGGCTAGGAATGAAAATGAGGTTATTTGCCTGCGTTAGAATGCATGAATAGAAATTTACAGTAAGATCTTGTGCACAATTTGCAGAGGACACCGGAAAATGGAAATGCTTTGAATGGAGAATCAAAACTTGGAACAGTAAGAGGACTCTTTGCTTTTCATGAATGCATGTCAATAATTTTTTCGCAATGGAAGGTTTTAGTTTAAAAGTCTTTCCTTCTGTGTCTCTTAGGACATGACACTTGCCGTATCCAATGCACGTGAACCTGAATCTGAGGGGAAGCCACAAAAATCTCTGAATGAGAAACAGCAAGTGAGTGGCTCGTTAGATGCTCTGAACAATCTAAATTTTGTTGAATATTTTGAACTGTCTCTTCATTTTTTACCCCTTTTCCTTAATCTTGCCATATCTTACTATCTCATTTTCTGGGTCAGGAAAACCAGGACTTGTTGATCAAGTGCATATCACAAGATTTGGGATTTTCTGGGGGCAAACCTGTTGCTGCGTGCATGATCTATAAATGTCTTCTTCACTGGAGATCATTTGAAGTCGAAAGAACAAGTGTTTTTGACCGTATTATTCAAACTATATCTTCAGCAGTTGAGGTAACCTCCACTTTTTGTTTATTTGAGCATTCTTCAAATTAGCTTTTGCATTATTAAATGCTTATATGAATCCTGGAGTACTTTTTACTGATAAATAGCTACTTCTGAAACATTAAAGGCGCAGGATAATGCTGATATATTAGCCTACTGGTTGTCTAATACATCAACTCTGTTGTTGCTTCTCCAACGAACTCTCAAAGCTAGTGGGGCAGCTAGCCTAACACCACAAAGGAGGAGAACTGCCTCGGCATCTCTGTTTGGAAGAATGTCTCAAGTATGAAGCAAATGTTTGTCAGTATATACTTTCTTCAGAAACTTCTCTCAGTTTATGAAATTGTTGTCCTTTCCGTGATATTAGGGGCTAAGGGCATCTCCTCAAAGTGCTGGTTTACCCTTTCTAAATGGTAGAGGGCTCAGTAGATTGGATGATTTAAGGCAAGTGGAAGCAAAATATCCCGCTTTGCTGTTCAAGCAGCAGCTTACTGCCTTCCTGGAAAAAATATATGGAATGATAAGAGACAACCTTAAGAAGGAGATATCTCCATTACTCGGATTGTGTATCCAGGTAGATTTTTCAGGTTACCATTTTATGAATGCTAATGACAAAAGGGCAAGTAAAATTTGATTGTGCTTCTTTATAATCAAGGTTTTGCAGCAATTGGCATTCTTTTGTGTTGTTAGCAAACAACAAAGTTGTCCGTTACTTGTAACTGGTATTTTATGAAGTCCGGAAAAAAAAAAAGAGAAATTATATGTTGTGTTCAAATTTAACATTATAACTTTTCATAGGATATCAATCACAGTATAAAAAGTGTGTGTGTGTGTGTGTTGGGGGGGGTGTGATACGACAATATGCTTTTAGTGACTGCTACCTAGAAAAGAAAACATTTTCTCCCACTTTAAAGGAGAATTTCTAAATAACATCATGTAGATGACAAATCTTCGTATGCTACTTTGCACCTATGAGCGATCCCCAAATCATTATTAGCAGGTTGATATGTATGTCGGTGGTGTAGGAAAGCAGTCGCATGTGGGTTAGACTTCAATGTAATTGACAAGCACTGTTCTGAGTTCATTTTCATCTGGATAACACAAATGCAGGCTCCAAGGACTTCACGTCAAGGTTTAGTGAAGGGACGCTCACATGCTAATGCAGTTGCACAACAAACTTTAATTGCTCACTGGCAAAAATTGTGAACGGCTTAAACAACTCTCTGAAGATTATGAAAGCAAACTATGTGAGTTCTAATGTTTCCACGAAAATGTCTGCATTTCCGTCGTCGTCCAATGATAGTATTTACTGAAGTCCTTTGTTGTTAGGTGCCCCCGTTCCTGGTCTGTAAAGTGTTTACTCAAATATTCTCATTCATTAATGTCCAACTATTCAACAGGTACTTTCTTCCCCCTTCCACTCCTTTCTTCCCATTCTTTTGTCTACCTGCATTGCATATATATCATATCGCTGCAAGAAAAATGCAGTCATTTTCATGGGCTTGATATGATCACATCTGCAGTCTTCTGTTGCGTCGGGAGTGTTGTTCATTCAGTAATGGGGAGTACGTAAAGACAGGTTTGGCTGAATTAGAACAGTGGTGCACTGAGGCGACAGAAGAGGTGAGCATTGAGCACATTTTTTTTTTTCATTATATATATTTTTCCAATTTAGGTTTCCGCCTGAACTCTGTTACTTGCAGTATGCTGGTTCAGCTTGGGAGGAACTGAAGCATATCAGGCAGGCTGTTGGGTTCCTGGTACCGGACATTTTTCATAGAAATTGAATTTTGGCTTCAATATTGATGCTTTCCTCTTGACCAATCGTCTGCTATTCTTTTATTTAGGTGATACATCAAAACCCAAGAAGACCTTGAACGAAATAACAAAGGAGCTTTGCCCTGTAAGTGCCTTTTTCTTCTTTTGTGCTTTGCTTAAGTTACTCTTCGATTCACATCTAGAGGATATATTATGGTGCTGCAGGTTCTTAGCATACAACAGTTATACAGGATCAGTACAATGTACTGGGATGATAAATATGGCACGCACAGTGTGTCTACAGATGTAAGCTAATGTCTCTAGTTTCAATAGTCTACTATATTTATGGTCACTAATAGTTGCGTCTCTCGGAACTCCTTCAACTGGTCTTAGCATGGATCGTCCTCTTGATTATACAGGTTATTGCAAAAATGAGAGTCATGATGTCTGAAGACTCTGGCAACGCTGTTAGCAGCTCATTCCTACTGGATGATGATTCAAGGTACTGCAAAAGCTTTGATTATTGAGTATACTGGACAATTTAATTCCTCCTCAATTGTTGACCTCATCTTGCTTCCATATCCAAAAATTTGTAAATGCCTGAACTCATGAAATCAACTTGTTGCATTTCTCTTTTCACAATTTTTTATTCTAATACTAGATTTGAATAGACAGCAGTTCAAGTGTCATGGTGTTAGTTTATTCATTAATATATGATGGCCTATCTCGGTTTTGACTTTAGCCTTCAATCGTTAAATGTGAATGCAGTATTCCATTCTCAGTAGATGACATCTCTAAATCCATGCAACAAGTTGACGCATCTGATGTGGATCCTCCTCCATTAATCCGCGATAACTCAGGATTTGGGTTCCTTCTAGCACGGTCAGAGTGATGCAAAATATTTAATGTCAATTATTGCCTCTGACGCTTCATCATTTGGCTCTCCCGGTACAACATAAGTTGCAGGTTCTAAAAATTGTTTATATGATCTTTTTTCGGTAGTAATGTGTACAGTATACTTTCACCAACCCAGGCTTCAGATATTGGGTTGTTGTCTGGGTTAGTTCATTTTTACCCCTCAAGTTTCATCGACAAGAGGGTTTTTCCTTTGTGAAAGCCATGTTTACAAGGGTTGTAATTCATGGCGATTATAGGTAAGGGCTGGTGTCCAGGCATGTCTGTCACACTTGCCCAAGGGCTTTTTATTCTTAATTATTGTTTATTTTTTTTGGGGGAAATATTTTGTTTTTCCTCATATTGTTGGTCGCTTCTTAGTGTTATAGTTGGATGAAATTTAGTGACGTTAGATCATTTGGATGTAATTTGCATTTGTTATGATATTTTTGGGGTTAAACTGAAATATCAGATAGGATTTTTTGAATGGGCTGAGTTATCATTAAAAATGACTCAGTGCAACTGTACATATCCCCCATTATTTGTTTAAACTTTACAGCTTCAATTTCAGCTTTAGTAGGAGCTGTGTTCCTCGAAGTCTCAGGACAATGAGCAGCTGTTTCCTCTCAGTGCAAATGAATCGCCATGCTTCCCCCCCCCCCCCCAAAAAAAATTCTAGGGTTTTAACATCTAATTTCAGACAAAAGTTTAGCCAACTTGTCCTAAATTGCATTCCAAACTAATTCTTATATTTAGAATTTATTTTGTAATATAATGTTTTTGTTTAAAATTTTTATCATACACATCTAATTAACATTTCTTCCTGGGAGGTTTAAAATTTTACTACTTAAAACTAAATTTCTTAATTTGTATAAAATTGGAAATAAGTGCCTATTTTCGTAATATAATGTGTTTGTTTAAAATGTCTATCATACACATCTGATTAAAACTTTTTATTGGGAGTAGAAATTGAATTGCTTCTCTTGCGGTTATCATGGGAACGCCTATTGCTTCATCCCTCATCCTTTACTTTTGCTGTTACCGTGTCAGAAACTTCATGCAGTTTGCTATGAACTCTAATAATTCAATATGCAATTATGCGAGAAGGAAACAATTCTCATTTAACAACACGAATTAGCATGTTAATATTGTTTTGCGTATAAAATAAAATAGGATTCTCTGATACACATTTTGTAAAAATATCATTTCAGCAGCTTTCATAGGAAAGGGAGAACACTACAAAGCGCACATATCGACACCGTCCTACAAAATATGCATTTGTAACATACGCGTACATTCACATCAGTAGCATTTCCTGAACTATTGGACTGGAAGTATCACCCCCAACAAACCAAACAAAAAAAAAAAACCTTGATCTACATTGTACAACTACTTCCACATCTCTAGTTGCGATTCCTGACTGCTCTGTTGAACTTCTAGAACTTCACTGAAACCACGAATGAGATTATTCCTCATGGTTTTGATCAGTTTGCATCTCTGATTTCTTTTTCTCCTTCATAATCGCCTGCCTAGGCATTACGTCTAACAGAAAACTCCCTCCATTCCATACAGTTGCAGAAACCTTGAGTAACTGGAAAACTACATGCAACCTATACGACAAGAATATGGGCACGGCGAGTGCCATGGTTGCCACAGTGAACATGGCTTGCAAAACAATGTACATCAACAAGCGATTTTGATCTCCAAGCATCCCACTTAAGCGCCACCATACGTTGTTTGCTTTCTGAGCCTTTTTGGAGAGCTCCCTAAGAAACACGCAGATAAATATAACAGTCCATTTAATAACACACACGTCACAGCGCCAGAATCTTGATTCTTGGCAAAAGAGGACGGATGTGTAAATATTCTCTTTAATTTGAGAAAGAGAGTTGGAAAGTATAGAGAAGGAATCTGTTAGTTACCTGTATGAGGTCATGACCTCAGGATCTCTTAAAAGCCTTTGTCGGCGTAAAACATTCACAATGAGAAAGTAAAGGACCTGCCACAAAGTGTAGGCAGCTAAAGGAACAAAAAACAGCCATGTCCAGAGGTAGGCCTTATCTTCCACATAAGGCCATGTAGGCCTTCGAGCACTTCCCTCTGGATGCATGGCTTCAAAGGTTGCGGGGTTCCACCACCTAATGGTAAAGAAAACCAATCCTGAAAGTAATTATTGGGTTAGACAACGAAATGCAACCAAATTAGATACATTAAGCAACATGAAGTTGGCCTACTATCAAAAGTTCAGAATACACTGGCAATTAACATGTAAATATTTATCCCAGATAAATGGAATTGAAGTTTACTTCAATACCTTCGTTATAACATATTTACACTATTTCCTTAGCAAGCAAAATAGTTTGGCATTTATAGTTTCTCCCTTCTATTTTCTCTAATATGAACTTCAACCGTGCTCCCTAATTTCTCCATTGTAAGATGTTACAACAAATGTCGACCCAAAAATTAAAAAATTGTCTGGCTTCATATCTCTAGCTCAGAAAACTCATAGCCATCATAACTGATAAGATTTACTAACATTTGACAGCAAACTAAGTTATAATCTATATCTACTACGGAGTGTTTGAACAGTAAGATTATTTCTCAATTCCATATCATCAGGTAAAGATCAAAATCGGGGCCCAAAAAAAAAACAACGAGAATAATTTGAACAAATCTAACAACGTTCCAGAGTCTTTTAATATTATAATAGGAAAATCATCATTGGGATGATAAAACCAACACAAAGCCAGCAGAGTATCATCAACCATAATACTTCTATCACAATTTCTATCTCCTAAAATTTAGTGCATGAACACATACCTGATATGCACTCCGTATTACACATTTAAAAATATCAATATTAAAGAAGCAAACAATTAAGATCATAGAAGCCGTTGATGTTCCAAAATCCAATTGTCCTGTCTACTAAGATTAGAGATTCTAAAACATAAGAGGTCAAACTTACCAGGCAGAAGATGGATAAGAACACTAACAATTTTGTCAAAAGAACTGAAAACCAGGCTGCACCGCCACACAATCAAAGCCCATGCCAATGGCCCCTGCAACCACACTTCAATAAGTTACAAGGTTGACACTTGTAACATTCTTCTGCCGACGTGTCAAACTATCAGAAACTGAGAGCCTACCTCCGCAAAGGCAAAGCAAACCATGAAAAGCTTTTCATTCTTTGGAGAAAACAGCAGGTCAACCAAGAATATTGTATTGGCGTAATAGCAAAAATCCTGAACAAAAAAAACATCAAGTTACTTTTTTATTTTCTTGCTCAGATTTTTGACGCAACTCAAAAGATATTAATAAGAATATCTATCCAGCTCTCATAATTTAAGTAACTACAGGGCAAGTAGACATAATTGAGCAAGCTCATATTACTCTCTTTTTACAGCCATTATGCTCTCTTCGCTATTAGTGGGACATGTTTATGTAGAAATCCCACCTACACAATTAAACTTTAGGAAAATCATCCTTTTAACTTCATCTTTAAACCTCAAGACAAGCCAATATTTAGTAACTTCACAATTTAAATGGAATTTGGTAACTCTCATCCCCATCAGCTATGTACATAACCAAATAAAGAGTTGGTGATTTTTTTTATTTTTTATTTTGGAAAAAAGAAGAAGAAGCAAACAGTTAGAATAAAAATAATTCGTCATCTGAGTTATTCGGTGATAGCTGCAAGGAATTCAAAGTCAATTCACTCGGCCCAAAAAATAAAATCTATCGTCTCCCCCCTCTAAGATTACATGGTCAGTTAGATATCAGCCTGCTCAGCAGTCCAGTAGTCCACCCGTCTGTTTTTTATAGCAACAGATTTTCGCCTGTACTGTCTTCTCAATAAATGCCTACCAAACGGTACCAGTACTATCCTTCGGAGTCCGAGTAACATGGCACAGGAAGTACCAACGGCACCGAACTTTATTCAAGAAATCAATGCACGGTTTCAGAAGCACGTATTGAATTAACAGATGGATCAGATAAGTGTGAGATATTACATCTTACCAGAAGATAGTAATGCCATTTCTTATACTTATAGTATATCCACCGGAGAGGAACAAAGGTGACGTAGAAGAAACAATATACATACGGAATGTCTTGAGGTCCTGGTAAACATAAAAGAAATATTGAAAAAGAAAAGTAAAGATAACCATGGATTTGTTTAAGGGGAAATAAAAAAAGAAAGCATTATACATGGTTCCACTGATCAGAGTTATCAACTTACTTGCCCCCAAGAGGAAGCAAAAGCCGCCAAAGCCTAGAACCCCCAAAAAATGCGTCACCTGAAAATGCATATGAAACTCACTGTTAACATAGCCAAGAGTAGGTATCATATTCATAATAAAAAGGGGGAAAAAAAAAATGAAACCCGTGGATTATCAATTTCATATTAAGAAGGAAAGAAGAAGCAAACCTTGTTAATGAACCTTTCATGTTCCTCAGCTCGCTTAGCGATCTTATCCGCCTGCTTCGAAATCATCTCCTTCGTCTGAACAGCTTGTTGCGACAACACCTTCATTGGAGCCAAACCAAATCACAACCAAAGCTTGAGAAACAATAGACGGATACAAACGACGGCTAAAATCAAATCGAAATCTCGATTCACGCATACCTTAGATCTATCCCTGAATCTCTGCTTCACCTTTTCAGAAGATTCGCCGTTTGTATACTCCACGTGATCTTCGTTATCGGACATTTTTACTACACACTAACAAACCTACGTTCTCAATCCACAAACAACACACAGAGAGAATGATGATGATGATGATGATGATCGTGAAGGTGAAGAATCAGAAGAACAATGCCGTTTCCGTCTATGGATTGAAGGAGACTCTTGAGCCAAAGACCAGAATGTTCTTTAACCTTCGACGCGGATAGGCGGATTATAAAACAATCTGGTCATTGTCGTCTTGTCCATTTCTCTCAGATGCGCAACACACACACACACACACACACACACACACACACACACACACACACGTGTCACGTGTGAACCATCTTGGGGACTGCCAAATGTTAGTATAAAATTATTGGGTCGGTGCTTTATTACACTATAAGTTATTTTAAAAAAATTAGTGCCTTTACTAAAATGACCTAAAAAAAATTATTTTGTATTTTTATTATTATCGGTAATAATACTATAAATTCAGAGTAATTTATATTTTGAATAATACATCTTTTATAAAATGTGACTAAAAACATCATAAGGGGTATATTATATTAATTACTTCCTCCAATTCTTATTATAAATTTCAAACAACTAATTTACGGATAATAAACAATTAGTTAAAAATAATAAACAAGTTAAAAATAGGGAGAATTACAATGAGGTCCCACGTAATTAAAAAACAAGTCCCAGAGGTTGTCATTCTCACTGTAGGACTTGTTATTACAGGCTGCTCAGGTTGTTACTTGGGACTTTGTAGTGATTATTTCTCTTATGTGGGACTTGAATGTAATTCTCCCTTAAAAATATTCTTTTGTTTTTAAATATGTCTTTATAATAAATAAAAAAAGGATGAAAGAGAATGTGTGAGAAACTATGATAAGGGAAAAATAATTAAAGGTAACATTGAAAAAATATATTAAATATTAAGACCCACCAAATTAAAGCTTATAAGATGGATTATATTCTTTTTGAAAGTTAAAACTTAAATAGGGTTGAAAGGAGGAATAATTAACTTATGAATCAATTTTGTATAATTCCGTATTTTAATTGGACAAAATCTTGGCCACATGGCTTTAGAGGTGGTTTGGGCACCATAAAAAGTGCTTTTCAAAATTTTTTTGTTTAAAAATCAAAATAAATTCCTCTACACATTTATTTAGTATATTATAAAAGTACTTTTAAAACTATAATTTTAATTTTATCTAAACACTTTTCTAGTTTCCCAGTTAATTTATCATATTGTCGAAGGAAAAGAAAAAAGAAAGAAAAAGAAAGAAAGAAGGAGCGAGGGGGCATCTCAAATGGATTTGACATATTCTCGGGAATATTATCTCCAAGTCTTTTGCCTGGTGTTCTGCAAAATGAGATAATTAATAGAATTTGCTTAAAAAAAGATGTCGCATGGTCACCATAGGGGATGGTTAAAAGGAATTGAACAACCATTCTGAATTTTTCAACAAATGTTATCAATTATTATTTTGATCTTAAGGATGCCTTTCCACATCCATAAATATTTGAGTGGAATTAGAAAATATCTTTTGTTCGAGTTTTATTTAAGGAGTATTTGGATTAACCTTTAAAAATAATTTATGAGGCTCGAGAAAAACATGCAAAAGAGTCATTATAATTTATTTGACTGGCAAGTGATATTATTGTGTGATATACTAGCTCCGGTCTTTAATATAAGACACTGTTAAATTTTTATTTTAATCCTAAATATAAGATCCCAATCCACTTTGTTTCTCATATTTATATATATTTTTTCAAAGTAGCCTTTTTAACAATGATAATCCTAGTCAATACACTTGATTAGGAAGGATATTTTAGGAAAGACAATACCTATTTAGAACAAATAACTAACTCAACTTACTTTCTTAACCTCCTTAAATTAGTCAACTGGCTCTTATAATTAGAATCCGAGGTAGTATTTTGATTAGGTAAAACATCACCACTTTGTCAACATAATGGTAATAGGCAGGAAGCCGATGTAATTTATTTGACTAGTAAGTGATATTATGGTTTGATATATTTGATTTGGGCTTGATATTTTGTTAATTAATGACCTGACTTTTTTATGGGAAAATTTAAAAAAAAAAAGCCTCTTGAATTTTAAAATTTGAAATCAATCTTGTTTACTACATTTTAATAACAATTGATTATATTGAAAAAGTAAATAACAACATATTTTTTAACAATTACTTATTTAAAATTTTGAAATTTTAGAGATATTTTTTGAATTTTTTCTTTTTTATTTTTTAAAAAATAAAAATTTAAAATCAATGAATTTAACTAACTAATTTTGTCGGAAACATATCTGCCCAGCGGAAACCTGGGGGATTTATAGATAATTAATGTGTGTGTAATAGCAGGTTATGTAACTTTATTAGTATAGTGATAAATAAATTTCTCCGGCAAAAAGAAAATAATGATAATAAACTTCACTTTTAATAACTTGTCAATACTACTGTAGTTAAAAATAAGCCGTCAATACCACCGGCCGTTCGGCCGAGTGGTAATTGAGCAAGTGTTAGTGCGGAGTGTGTTGTGATGTAGTTTCGTGCCTGCCCCTCTGCAATCCTTTTTTTTAAAAAAAAATAAATATGAAACTGTTTACTATCTCAACTATAAAACTTAGTATCTAATTTTTTTGTTGCCCATCCAGTTTACCGAAACTTTGCTCCGACTACATCTGGACCCGACTCGCGTCGCACACCTGACTGTAGCAGGTAAGTCTTCCAACAGATATTTCTGCATATGCTGAGGTTCGAACTCAAAATTTCGCTTAAGCGGTATCAAGCTGCTTACTATTTAAACCAATCCCTATTGGTCTTAGTATCTAATTATTAACACACACATACACACTTGTACATCCCGGGGTTATGATAATGCTTGGGGGGTGGGGGATCAAATTTTTGGGCCAAGCCCAAGTATTCCAGTCGCCTTGGGCTCTTTAATGTAATTGTTTTACTTATACAATAAAAAACAATTAATGCAGATGGGAATAGGGAGAATGATATTTCATGACCCTCTTAAGAGAAATAATCATGTTACCAATAGGCGTTGGTTAGTGGAAGAATTTTGGCCGTCAACATCTTGAAGGAAAATCAAAAGTGAAATAATCATATTTCAGAACCGTGAATTTTGAAAATACTCTAAAAACTCATGCCCTTAGAAGGAAATTTCTTTCGTAAATACTCATTTGAGGCATATAGATAAAAGAGATGGGGGAATAATCATTAATAACGTATAATTAGTGCCGTGTTGGCCACAAAAAAAGAAGCAAGGTATAATTAGTGATATTGAAAATGCTTATTGATTTGTATGATGAATTGGCCCGCTTTTGATTGAATCAGATTTTACAAGATTTTAAGTATAAAGTTCAATAATGATTGGTTGATATTAATTTTAATCAAATTATCAATTTAATATTTATGATTTGTTTGGCTTGAAGGAAAGAGAGAGGAGGGGAGAAAAAATTTGGTTGAGTTTCATCATCGAGAAATAAGGATAAAATCTTTTAATTGATATTATTCATTTTTTTCCTCTTACGTCATCTGTTTTTATTTAATCAAAGTATTATAACCCACTTGTCCATTTTTTTAAAATTGAAATTAAAATCTTTGTTCTTCTTCATTTTCCTCCAATTAAACACGAAATTAATTCCTTCATACGGAACGTAAAATTTAGTTAAGTATGCAAGTTCAAGTACTTAATTTTCATTTTTAAAATTTTAAATATTTCTTGAATGTAAAACAAAATTGAGAGGAAAATAGAATAAGCTGCATGAAAACTACGAATCATTATATTTATTGCTTAGAAATAACGTGGCTCCTACATATTTTATATATTGATATTGTAAAAACGTCATATTATTATAATTCATAAATCATGTGTTCCATTCCAAATTTCATATAAAAAATCCACATATTTGATTTGTAAATGGTATATGAATATTTAAAATTTAAAAGTTAAATTACGAATATGAATCATTGCGCAATTGAACTTTGGATTTGCCCGCTTCGGCGGCGCCTCAATTTGAAAATTGCGCAGTGGGCCACCTGCGGGCCCAACTCTTGCTTCTTATACAGCTACGACGAATCAATCATCATTCTTTAACAATCATGATTATTTAAAAAATTAAAATCAACATATTACTCGCTCCGTTTCTTATTATAAGAGACATTTGATACTTATGGCATATTTCTATATATAAGAGACACTTAAAAATTGTCTCTACTTTTTTGTATTCATTTCCTATTTTACCCATATTTATTATCTCCAACTCACACTCTCTCTCCCTCCCACTTCTCTTTCTTTTAATAATTTAATTGTTCTCTCTCATGCTCTCTCTCCTTATTAATGAGGGTATTTTTGAAAAAAAAATATACTTTTGACACATTAATTGTTTTTAACTAATTTTAACTGTTTTTTTTATCAACGTACTTCGGTTATTTGTCTCTTATAAATTATAATAAGGAACAGAGGGAGTAGTATTTAAAAATGTTTTATTAATATTTAAGATATCAATGTCAATATTTCTGTTAAAAAATTTAGGGTTAAATGACTAAAAATATACCTTTTAAAGTTAATAAATCAAATTAAAATTCTGTATAAAACTAAAAGACTAAATATATATATATATATTTTAGCCATGATGTGCGTATAATCTTGTTAAATTTTAAATTATGTGTAGATAATTTCTTTTGCTTTAATCCACATACAACTAACTTTGCAAGAGGCAATTTTCCAGTAAAATATTACATGAACTATAGCATGAGAGCTATTTATATAAATTGGGAATCAACAAATATTAAAAAATATGTAATATTTAAATTGAAAATCAATCAATTAAATTAGAAATTTTTTTTCCAATGCTTGTGGAAACCGGCATGGCGAGACATGATTATGAGAAGACAATTTAAAAAAATAAAATTGAAGAAATTAATTAAAAAACCAAAAAGAAAATTGAAGAAATTAAATAAGATTGATATATACACGTAAAAGAGAATCAACGCCAATAGAACAAAAGCACATTCATATGAGACAGCTAAGGCTTGGTTCATCTTATCCCTTGTCTCCCGCGGCGGACCAACCAATATTGTCTCTTGAATCTGATTAGAGGCTAAACTACATTTTTTTTATCACATAATTTTTTATTTTTGATTGATGCTTTATTTCATCATTTAATTTTTATCATATTGTGATCTCTCAACTTAATTATAAAAACATACTCAAATTTTATTTT